CTGCTCAGCATTTGGGAAACTGTAGTACTGGTACTCCAGATCACACATACTTTGTTCAATGAACCCCTTTCTTAACCAGTGGGCTCTCATGTGGTGTCTCCTGACCCAGAACAGCTACATCTGCACTTCTGATTGGCCTAGCAGTTCATTATTTGATCAAACACCTGGTTGTTGCCTTCACAATCTTTCAACACACTAAAACTGGTGACAACTTTGAAAGAGCCTTCATGGTTGCATCAAGAAGATTAAAAAGATGACTTTAAAATGGAAAAAGGTGACTTTAAAATGGCCAACCCCCAATGTCAGATGAAAAGCAATGAAAATATTTTTATCGTTTATTTGAGAGTTTGGACTAATCCATAAATGTGACTACTTCAGGACAAGGGCTTAGTTCTGCTGACCTCCATCTTTCAGGATACAGGAATAAAACAGTCCTTCCTTTTCCTGACCTTGGGGCCTTACTGACAACCTACTAAAGTTAATGGAAAGACTTCAGGTTGGTTTGGGTTGCCTTTCTTTAAAGGCAGATAAGCATTACCAGAGAGGTCCCTCTCATTTGAGCATATACCAACGGAGAGACTATCCCTCTAAACTCTTCCTTAGAGACTCTCCCAAATTAGAGAAAATGTAATTATGCTTCTTAGAAGAGAACAAGTCTGAGAGGCTCCAAGGACACTGATGTTACAAGCCTTAATAAATGCACTGAACTGCAGGACTGAAAACCACCACAAAGGTAGAAAAAGGCCAACACGTGTGATAGCAAGCCAGCAATTTTACTGTAAAGGCAGAAGTCTATGAAACAGGCAAATGAAAGGAACAGACCACAAGTACAAATAACATGCAGTAAAAGTTTGCTAGAGAAATAACATCATTTTGTCTTAGAGCATCATCAAAGACAGAAGATAAGCAAGAAAATGGAAGCAAGCAAGCTATTTAAATCTTTTTAATTAAAAAAATGGTTGTCTTAAATTCACCAATATTCAGATTAGCTAAAATTGTTTACATGATCTACACTGATACATGAGTTGGTCTGCTAAGATTTTTATTTTTTTCCTTTGACATTACTGAGGGTTTAAAATGCTAGAAGCAAATATTGATATCTTTTCTGTGGATGTCATTTGCCCATACAGGGACTTTACCTCTCAGTGTGTAATGTAAATTCCAATTCATTGAAAAAAAAAGAAGTTATCATTTCATGGGACATTATTACTGCTTTAATTTTCTTAATTGTTCCATTAATTTTTGTGATCAATTTCTGACCGATAGATATATCTATTGATCTAGTTATAAAGGGCTTTTTTCATACATCTACTGTCACCTTAAACAAAAAGGCCTAACAGATGATACTGATGTTGAAAACAAAGTCTGAGGTTTCATAATCGGCTGAAAGTTAATACTTGATTTTTCTCTCATAAGACTACAAGAGCTGCTTATTAAAAACGTAGTAAAAGGTAAGGATGGCTTCTTTGGCATAGCATAACACAGTGACAAATTAAAGAGTTGTTCAAACATTTTGGGAAGCTAACAGCCAAATCAAACAGTGAGAGCTGGTAACGTGAATCGGAACCGTGCATTATCATGCCACCAGGGATATGGGATGAGATTATAATTCTTGGACTCAGTTCTACATCGGGGAAGAATTAGTATGCCAAAAACTTTCTTGTAGTTATCATTTCCCTTATTTCACAGCTACAGTGTATTTGTTTAAAGTATATAAGATAGCAGAGTATATAAATAGAGTATATAGCAGAGTATATAAAGTATATAAGAAAGCAGACTGCATCTCACGGGAAAAAGGTTAGTAAAATAGAAAGGACAATGTTGCTACAGTGTTGCTTTTACAGTATTACAACCACTTCAGCTGTTTCAATTTAAGGTGCTTGGTGAGCTTTTTACATGTTGTTCATAAAAATCAGTCTCTTAACAGCACTATGAACTTCCATTAGGTCAATAGATTATGTACTAGCAACTATCAAATCTATGAGATTCCATTGTATCTTACAGGTGGGGAACACGAAACACACTGCACATACAGAGGGGTTGGACTAGGTCATCTTCAAAGGTCCCTCCAGGCCCAAAGCATTCTATGATTCTGATTCAAGTTTAAAAAATATATATATATCTGTTTTTAGAACAGGTAGCATGGTTTAGGTAGCAATACTATGCTGGACAGCTGTGCCACTACATACACTTTCCCACTTTTCATTTGGCTTTTTTATCTGAATAACAGCTATAAGAGACAGAGCTGACTTTCAAACCTTCTGAAGAGAGTAGCTCAGGGGACATTCATCATTACTCTGATGCTATTATTTAAAAATGGCCATAATGTAGGGGAGGATGATTATGAAGAGGCAGTCATGGAAAAATTCTTCTCTAGAAACAGCAAAGAGTATTTCAAGAAAGAGCAGCCTCATTGTGCTATTATGTTTGTGCACAAGATGTAGTTTAACCATAACAGTGTGTGGTACAACTGCGTACATGTATGTGGTACAACTGGTGTAACTGTGTACATGCAAATAAAAGAATATGTGAAATCGGAGAGCAGATGACACATTGGATTATTAACCTCCGGCTGCCATGAGGAGGATGCCAATTACATTTTTCTCACACAAAATTCCATTCCTGCATAGTAGTAGCTAATTTAGTGCCTCTCTTCATAGTCACATAGTTACAGATATTTTTTCTGTTCACTGATTCATATATTTCATAGCTGAATTTCATCCTCTCTTTTATCATGCAGTGTTTTCTGCCATAAGATACTGTGAATGTTTGGTGGTCCATTTTTCTTTCAGCTGTCCTGACTGATTCTTTACCATTGTCATAGTCCACCTCGATACTAACACCACTTTTCAAAATTGTTTCCAATTATGCTGACTGCAGGTCTCAGCATGGATCCCTATGGCATGTCACCAGGATTTCTCCATTCAGAAAAACCCCAGCCATTTATTCCCATATTTTAACTTCTAGCTTAATTCAAAGAATCTTCACTATCATCCTATGAGAGACTAATCTCTAAAAAATATATGTTGAAATTTGTCTCCAAAAGGTTTTTAATCTAAAATACATACATATTAACCCAATCATCCTCATCTGTTTGTTTATTGTCTTCATGGAATAACTTAGAAGATTCATCATGTATGAACTTCTTTTACAAAAACTAGAGTTCAACTCTTCCCCAATTGTCATTTCTCTTTATTATAATTTCTATTAATTTCCTTCATATGTAAATCACATGTACTGGTCTGTTCCTGCTAAATTCATCCATGGACTCCTTTTAAAATTCTTACCATCTTCCATTCCTCTCATCTCAGGATTGTACATCACTTAGTTCATCAGTTCTGTGTTTTAATTTCCTTTCCCTTGGGTATCTGCCATATGACCCTAGCCTTCGTTTCTCTCTTTTTTTCCTAAAACTTCTCCAAACAGTTCACAGTCAAAAATGAGTCCACAGATACATCATCTGATCTAGACATAATTATGCAGTGCCTAGTTTGTAATAAACAGTCCTTCAATACAGATCATGAAAGTTTTCCACATACTAAAGAGGCAAGAAAAATGATGAGCAAATTAGGTCATGTATTATCACATCAGCTAAATTTGGGGGGGGAAAAAAGTGTGAAAAGCTGAAAAAAGTCTGAAAAGTCTGAAAAGCACATCTATGTATGCAGCATTTTTTGTCATTTTTGTCATCATGATCACCTGAAGAAAGGCCTGTTGGCAGTGTGTCATGTGTTGTAATTATGTGGCTGAAAACTTTATCCTTGGACTCAAAATGCTCCCCATGGTTTGTTACCAGACAGACACTTTCTTGTGCAATAGAGTGGCAGATGACATTTGATTCTAACAGCAAAACATTCCAGTATCATACTACAGCCTGAAAAAGCAGCAGAGATTCATCTTACACATCTCTCTGGCTGGGTGGCATAAGAATTAACAAATAGCAACCCACATTTCTACTTTATCATACAGGCAAGTAGATGACTTTACAGGTAAAGTAACACTTATTTTTTGTATCTTAAAGGAGAAAAGTTTGTGCAAAGATTCATGTACTCCTAAGAGTAAGAGCTCTTTTATGAGACAATATGATACATGCCAGGAGTTTGCTAGAAGGTATTCTTATTATCTTTACCAAACCTCTCTATTTTGTCTTTTTTTTAACAAAGAAAATAATCTGAAATCAATCTATTCTAATTCACAGCTGTGAATACTCTATAGAATAATCTACATGAAATAAACTATTTGCAGTAGATCTTATTGAGAAACCATGCTTTTTTTTTTAAGGTTAGGCGGTCAGAGTTGATAGAAAATTAATATTCTTCTAAACACATTACTATAACTCAGAAGAGAGACTCTTAGACTTAATAATAGCAACAACGATAATAAACAATGGTTTTGTTAGCAATAGAATATATTTCTAAATGTCAGTAATGGCATTTTTAAACAAAAAAGGCTAGCAATGTACTGTAAATGTGTGCTATGAGGAACATTAGCATCGAGCTGCCAGACAATGTCAACGAAGGATTTCATTGTTGAATTATGAAATCATTGTGTTTGATATTATTATACACATAGACTCCAGATCTGACACAGACCACATTCAAGAAGGATTCCAAGTAGTCTCAGAGGTTGTCATTAACCCTCTGCCAAGCAGAGTTTATAAATAATTATTAAATAAATTTTTAGATTACATCTCATTCTAGAACGGTTTCTATAGGGTTAGTCTTTGCTCATTGGGATGAAAACATGGTTAAAGTAAAACAGAAAATGTTATTCTCTCTTTTTTCTCCACACAACATAGATACATAAGGACACACCCACGTGCCATTTTCAATCAGCTGAGAACAAAATGTCATTTACAGATTCTTCCTTTCAGACATATGTGTTCTGTACCTGTTTCCTTAACGTTTGTTTCTATAGATCATCTACCAACATTCCAGATACTTGCCCTCTCACAGAAACTTTCACTTGGACACATGAAAACGTATGGACAATCCTCCTACCTTTAACAGGTAAGCTTGGCAGTCACTGACATAATCATACTCCAGTCCATCAAAGGTATAATAATGTCGATCTCCATAAATAGTGCATACAGCAGGACAGGGGTAACTAGTGCAGTTGAATATTCCTCTCCGACAAACACTGTAAGGAAAACTGACAATCAGTATCTTCTCATAAGATGGTCCTTTTATTTTCAAGAAAAAGCTTTCTTGGGCTCTGTATTTCAGGTCATACAGAAATTCATGAAAGGAAGAAAAGTCTCAGGCCTTTCAAAATAGAGCTGTTCAGTGGATTGCTTCTGAAGTTACTGGTGATGCCATGGCAGAAAAGTGTTGAGCATTTTGCTATCAGCACTTATGTACAATAAAAATGCATGAGAAATGAATGCAAAATCTTTACATTTTTATGGCTTATACAAATATTTCCATTACCACCTACAGTATAGATATGACACCATGCCACAACATGCTCATTCATAAAACATCAATATTACAATTTTCTCAAAAAATTTTTATAAAAATCTGCACATATTCAATGCAAAAGGCTTCCAGATGCTACTCGTAAGGTTTCAGGGTATTAGACAAGTACAGAATGAGTTCAAGAAAAAAAAATGCTGATATTTTTTCAGGACTACTTTTCCTGTCAGCTACACATGAATTTGTACGAAGGTAGTACTGGCAGCCTCTAGTTTTGCTTCTGTAAATGTATAGACTCAGTTGATTTGCCAACAAAGTTTTTAACTGATTAAAAGCTGGTATGCCAATTTTTTTTTTAATTATTAAATATATAATTAACTCAAGATAGATATTTTGGCTAGCAAATTACAGTGGATGAAAATCTGTTTTGAGTCAATACAAGTCAGGTAGATCTCCTTAAAAAAGATGCTGGGCACTGGCTCATTTTCCAGTTCAAATGATTTTTTTAATTTCCTTTGTGCTTTTTTTTAATTGCCTACTTTCTTCCTCTACAGTCATTTGTGCTGACTGGTAACTCACACTGCAACAGTCCAATTCCCAAAGGAATAGACTATTTACCACTGTCATACATTTAATTTATATTTCTTTCTCCTTCATTGTCTTGCATTACATTCTGTTCTCCAGAATGCCAAATGTCTTTTCTTCCAGAGATTGACTAATATATGTGGAATCAAGCATTTGGTTTTGACTGCTTTCTAACTCTGCATCCTTTTCAGACCTGAAGAAGCACTCACCCTAAACTCTGCCTACTACTCCAAGTTTATTAGCGAGCCTTATAAAAGATATATCCTGTAACTGTCTATAAGCCAGCATACAGATTTTTATTTTCAATCTCCTCAACCCATTTTCTGTATCAGATCATTTTGCAGCTAGACCCAGATGATTTGGAAATACAAAAGAATGCGTGTCACTCACCAGGTGTAACACGGTGTAGCTATCACTTCTCCTGACAGAAATTCCCTGTCTTTCCAGGTGCATGGACAACTGTCAGGAATATAACATTTCCCTCTATGCTCAGCCATCCTTCAAAATAAAAGAATTACTAATGAAATCATAAATTCACAAGTAGGTCAACATAACATGTAGTGCATGGTCAAAAGAAAGGCAGTTTACGAAAAGCAGTGGTGGAGGTTACCTGCCTGCCCCAGGGAAGTGGAAATAACTAAGCAGGTCAAGACAAAGCAGCGGCATTCAATGTAAAAAGCAGCAAATCTATTTAGTCATAAATAAGTAACCTAGAGATGTGGTTAACAGCTTTTCGCTATTTCATAACTTCCATCTGCTTAGCAACATTTTCTTCTCAAAAAAAAAAAATTACTGACACTCCCAGTGCTGCTCTTTCGGGGAGCAATTCCTGCAGTTGTCATTGCAACATGTGGTTGAGAGCACAGAGATGTGTTTTCAGAGTATGGTCTTGAGCTTGTTTCGCTTAAGGCTGAAGGTAAAAGGAATACACAGATTGTAGTTTTCTTTCATAATTGCAGGTTCATTAAAGATTAATTTTTTTTAAATAAAAGAGTCAAGTGTTCAGAAACATTATTAAAGTTAGGAAAGCATGAGAACGGATGGCTTGGGAAGGTCTTTTAGAGTCTCTGTTGATGGAAGTTAAGTATCCACCAATAACAGGTATTGCTGATGCCACCTAAGGGCAGGAGAATAACTTAGCACCGTGAGGTCCCTTTCCACACTACTCTTCCATACTTCTGGAATTCAACTTCTCTTCTTGTATCTCCAGCTCAGTGTTACGGTGACTTTCAGCATATCTTTGAGTGATGAATTTACTGTCATTCTCATCACATTTCCTCATGAAATTTTGAGCTATTCTATTCAGTTTTTATAGCATACCAGAGATTTTTAGTGTTTCTTCTTCTTTGTCACCTCTTTAACTACTAATTAAAAGAGTCATAAGGTGTTGTGCAAAAACTTTAACAACAGAAAATGTAAAACATTTTTACTTTTAGATGATCTCTTTTTTTATTAATTTTTTTTGCATACTATTCTCCAGCTGGTCAAAGGTTCCAAAGGAAAGGGTTTCAATACCATGCACAAGCTGCTTTCCATGGATTCCAAAAGGTTAGGTCACTGGCTCAAACAATGGATAGTTGTAGAAATAAAGTGGAAAAAGAGAAACAAAAAGAACAACATCTCAAAAGAATAAAAAAGTGACATAACAGTAAAACTTCTTATAGCAAGGCTTTCATGACTTGTCCATGTAGATTTAGTATCAGAAGGTATATGTTTAACATTTTCCTGTATAAAAAAGAGAACCTCTAAACTGAATTTGTAAGATAGCCTGGCTGGCCCCTTTCTAGATGAAAGCTATACTCGCTTTTTGAAAACCTGAGCCTGAAAGGCATACTGGCTCCAGAATAACAATTTAACTCCAATGATAGTAGTAACTGCTCTAAATCTTACACATTTACTTTTCTATCTAATAGGGAAATAAGTGGTTTTTCTCTTACTTAACAAAATAATGCGTGTGTTTTACTCCACTATTTGACAGACACTTGTGTTTGGGCTTGTCTGTACCCTTTTTATATTTTATCATTCAGAAAATAATCAAGTAACATCCAATTTGAAGTGGTATAAAACTGTTTGAGTGAGAAAATTACTTGGGCAGTAAGCAGAAACACAGATTGTTTACATTATGATTTTTCATCACGTTTGCTTCTACACTCAGATAAACTATACTGTGCAAGTGATGAGAGTCATCTTCTGTCCAGAGAGTCCCAAATATCAGTCAGTCAAACTGGTAGCAACCTGGACATCTCACAGAATAGTGAATCATGGTCTCAGGATGCAGAAACTGTGGGACTCCAACTGAGGAAGCATTATATATATATGGAGCCTCACACCATCAGGAAAGGAGAAAAGACTCAGAGACAAAAGATTTTCAACTGTGACTGTATATCTGTAAAAATTTATGGAACACTAGCTTCAAAATTAGAGGTGTGATACCACTCGAGTTTAAAAAGAAAAGAAAAAAAAATCAGAGTTAAACTGTGAAAAATATATATATGGCTTGTGCTCTGGGTTGTTCTGCCAAAGCTTACCCAGGGGGGCAAATGCAGCCGCTTGCACAGGGTGGTGAAGGGACACAAGAGAAGTTCATGGCAAGGTGTGCACAAGAGATCCCACAATTCGCACCCGCTGCTGGTAATCCAGGCACAGGAGATCTGCAGTCATAGTAGATTTTTCCTTCAGGGCATACGTGAACTTCAAATGCAAAATGCAGATTAAATGAGATCAAATGCTCTCTTACACTGACAGTGTTGTGGGTTTTTTGTTCATAGTCTATTGATTTTAATGCGCAGTCAGCCTGTATTACAGTACACATGAGAATACAATCTGAATAAAAGTCTATAGCTTCATTTGTATTAGAGATAAAAAAAAATATATGTTTAATGCAAAAAAAAAAGAGAAATAAACAAAAAACCCCAACACCTTAATATTAAGCTCCTGGGCCTACACACCCTGGATCTGATATATAGTCCATCCTTAAAGATGGAGTAACTATGGCCTAAGTAGAAAGAATCTTTAGAAGTTTCATAATCTTAAGTGTACTGAAATCCCTTCTACATCCATTAGAAATTCATTAAAAACATACTTTCTAAAAATCAAGATCTTAAAGTTTCCTAAACATTGACATTAAGCCTAATTTTAGGTATTCCCATGAGAGCACATTGACCTACATGTCACATGGAATTATTTATTTTTTAACTTCCAAGTCATTTAGTGGTAGGATTTGTGCTACAGAGAAAGGATAAAGAAGTAAGAGGGTTTGTGCTTCTAACGGCCTATTTTAAATATGTCATGACATTCAGTGTCTCATAACAAAAATATGTGTCAGGAGAAAATCAAATCACTATTCAATGTCAAAAATTTTCTCTCTTCGACTGTAATATGAGACAAGGATGTGAATTACCTGTGTTTTCTGTAGCGGCTTCAATACATTTCACTGTTCCATTCAGACACTGACTGCAAAAGAAAAGAAAACCCACCTTCATTCAAGGGCAAAAGTGTTTTGCAGCCACCATTTTAAAAAGGATAATACAGCTTAACTCAATTTAAATGGCAGATATTAGGAGGAGGAGGATTAAAATCCAAAAGCAGGAATTCTGACCAATGAGGGCCCAAACTCACAAAGGTGTTTATGTACTATATAATTATCTAAATATCACTGAAATAGGAAAGAAGCTGGGTTTGTCAGCTGCTGTGGGAACGTAGGGCCAGGTGGTTCAGGATGCGGGCAGTGTAACACAAACTGTTATCTGCCTTAGCAAACATGGAAGAATACGGTATGAAAATTAGAATACACAGCTTAGTTCTTTTTACGATAAAATACAGAATTTCAGAAAAATGCATTCAATGGTAAATCTTGTCCTCATTTTTTCCTGAAAAATAAAAAGTGACAAAAACAAAGCATTGCAGAAACATAGCAATGGCACTAAAATGAAGCCCTTACTCTCACCTCTTTAACAACACATTTAGCAAGCTTCAGTTATAACTATAATATACAGGACCTCAGCAAGAATATATCTTGGCACTCAAGTCACAGACATGTTTTTAAATCAGCAGGTTGAGAACATTTCTTTTAAAATGAACACGTTTGACCAGGAAACCTGGAAGGTTTCCCCACTTGTTTCAGTGAGGCCAAGATTCCATAATGAATTAATAATACAAAATGACACAAAGAAAGCTCTCTGCAAACCCTTTTTTGACTTCCCAAAATAGAATCTCATCATTTATTCTTCCAAAAACAACCTCATATTGCTGTCATAATGCCCCCAGGTCTAAGAACAGAAGTTCAACCTCCATGTGTGTGGTTTGAGATACTCTTTAGTTAAAATAAGCAAGTAAATAATCCAATTTACATTAGGTTCTCTTTTACTAAGTGTGTAACAAAAATATAATCTTGATAGAATAGATCTTCTTTCTGCATGAGAAAAATCTCAGGGCTCCTGTGCAGCATCCAGATTGTGATATATGAAAGACAAAACTCTAGGCACTCAAACCTACCATGAGCCTGTTGGCGTAGGGAGGATTTCTCCAGGCTGGAGGGCTTTGCCCTTGTAATGACAATGACAGGCAGATCTGTTAAAAGAATATTTATGTATGTAGATACAGAAGCAAGATGAAATGGGATTTAAGAGCAATCCAAGCTATTACGATAATCAGGCCTTATAATTCATTAGCCCAATCTTTATATTTACAGTATACTTCTAAAGGCAAAAACTAATGGGTCACAATCTATTTTGAAGTCAATGGCAAAAGTCGTACTGTCTTCCATGAAATTAGGATTTTCCTCAGTCTCTGCATGATTTATTTGATGTTTACGTGCATTTGTCTTACAGAAATTAGCTTTTCTTTCCCCAGTTAGGGGAATAGTATGGCAACATCTAGTTCCCATTCAAAATACTCCCAAAATCATGGGACAGAGGAATTATCATAGCAAAATCCATTAACTCTATCTGTGATAAGAGCCAGACGGGATAAAAGTAGAAACTGAGTTCCCCAGAAACCCTGTAGAAATATAGGAATATCAAGTTACCTCACATTTTTTATAGTCTGAAACAATCTTTATCCCTACAATATGAACTTCACTGATCTTTTCAACATTTATGTTGCAATGACCAGAATAACTGTGTAATCTTGACATCTATATAGATGCTTGCTACAGCTTTTAATTCAGTACGTGAACTCAGTAACTCCCCACAGCCATAAGACATAAAACTTTGGTACTCAATGTATAAAAACTGTTTCCTTTAACTTAAGGTATTTGCATTGTGAGATAGAAAAAAAGACACTTCTAGTCACTCTGCATACTATCCCTGACTTTGTGGATTGCTACTCTTCCATTTTTAGTTAAGTGTTAAAAACCAAAGTTTTCACATGAAAATGCTTTCCTAGGAATTAAAAAAGTCTCATAACCCTTCCCTAAAGCAGTGTGACATATCTTCTCTGAAGTGCAATAGATTGTTGTACACAGAGTAGAGGATGAGGCCCCACTATTGATTCGCATATAGAATACGAATTAGTATATAGAATACGAAATCTTCATATATTACTTGCTATACTGTTTAGGCAGTCTACATCTTGAGGGAAACAGCAAAAGAACTGTTTTAAATCTTGCTAAAAATAGGAAAATGTGCCTGTGCGTATGTTCTGTTTTCTTGTGACTTACATTGATACACAAAAGCTGACCGACTCTTCAAAATATTTCCCATCAGGACAATTACATCCTTCTGCACAGTCATCACCACAGCTATTTGCCATAGAAAGTGAAGCACAGGAGTGTTTACAAAAAGAAGAGCACTGCTGGTAAAGCATACCACTGTGACACGTCACAGCTGGAGGAGAGAGAAGGAGAGAGAAGGGAGAATGACATACTCTTAAAATGTGAAAAATAGGAAACAAAGCAGTAAATCATAGGAGTGCAAAACAGCAAAGCAAAATGGTCTCTTGCTGCACTGGAGTGTGTTAAAATGCATGAGAAAACCGTATTTTACTGATTTCTTAAGTTAGAAAAGTTTAGATTCAGGTGGGTTTATGTTAGAATTGTCTACTTCACAAACAGCAGTTGTCTGATCCTTATATATCTTAAGTAGGGGTGGAGTGGGTGTGTCTATCTCGTAACTCGGGCTTCCAAGAGAGAAATAACAGTCCAGTTGAGATTGAGATATTATGGATGTAGAAATGCCTTGTTTTAAATCACTGCTATATCCTCCCTGGTAAACCACTGCCTGCCCTGCTCTGCCTGCCCTGGGGAGCCCCTGCCACCCCAGGGAACAGCCCTTCTCCTGCCAGTCCCTGACTTCTTGAGCCCTAACAGGGCCTTCCATATCACTTATGGGTTCAAAGTTAGAAATTTAAATTCCCTCTGTGGTGAACAGAAAAGGTCGAACATCCCCTGTGGGGGAGCCAGGGTCCCCGACTCAGATGCCTAACACAAGGGCTATTAGCATTCTCCCCTGAGAAGGTCATTAGCCCGTGGCACAATTCTAGTTTCAGCAAAAAAAATATCCATCCCTGCATTTTGTGGAGTGAATGATATTCGTAGAATTTTACACATTTCTAAAAGGTAATCTGTTCTGCAAACATTACTCACAACAGTAGGAAATGTGAGATCTGAAGTCAATGATGGCTCCGTGCTTGCCACAGATGTAAGCGTAGTGTGCCAAGGCATTGCACAAACAGCTGCTTCCACATTTGCATGCATCGAAGCGGCAGAGCTGGTAGTATAATCCTGGACTGATGTAGGCATGGCAGGGAGCAAAAACTTCTTGATTGATGATATCACAGTGAGATGCATACCCAGCTAAGAGAAGGTGGCATTGTTTTAGCCAGATCCATTTTAATGTAACAGTTAGTCAAGTGAATAGCACAGAATACTAAAAGGAAACATAGACAGTTGTGCAAACAAAAAACAAAAAACTTTGTATACAAAGTCTTTCTGCAAAGTTCTGTAGTTTAAAACCGGTATTGTAAGCAACTCCCTCAACAAGAAACTCCACTTAAGATAAAAATAACTCTACAAAAAGTTATGTCTTCCTCTTGTCGTGCACAAAACTTAAATGGCAAAATAATGTTTTTCAAAACGGTTAGAGTAGGCTTCCAAAGCTTGCAATATGATTTTTCCTACTGGATGTTTCATTTAGCTGTAAAATCAGTAATGCCCATATACTTCTTGACCTGTGGACACCGTTACAAACTGGAGCTCAAGGGCGAGCAAGTCCCAAACCGGCCACATACTTTCCAGAGCCAACAGATCCTCCTCCTACCACTGAAGCGTACTACACCTACAAGTGTTGGAGGATCTCAGGAACACCATAATGTGGATCATATTTAAGCCAATCCTGCTGGTAAAAGGGTGTCCCTTCCCTTCGTCTTCCCTGTTCATTCCTGCCTACATACACAAGATCTCTGGAGTCTCTCAGTAAACTAGATTCAAGGAGTGAACTTGCCTTGGTTGAAAAATAACCTGAAAAAATAAGTAAACAAACAATCATTTCTTTTTCAGTTTCATCAGATTAGGGTCATTACAGACCTGGAAGTATGCTTGCTTGTGCTGGCTCAGCACAGATGGCAGCATGGGGTAGGACCACTTACACAGGGCTTGCTTTTTCCAGTGATAGTTACAGGATCACATGAAAATTCAGGTGGAAGGTACCTCAGATGATCATGTAGTCCACACTCCTGCTCTAGGCAGCTTACATTTATGTCAAACTTCACCTTCATTGAGGAAGCACAGAACTGAAGACGAGGCATGAATTCTCTTGAGAGAGAGCTAACTCGGCTGACACGTACTGCTTTAGAAGACAGTGCTGAAGACATAAAAAGTCCTAGAATGCCCCAGATTCTCAGAGGTTTATGGTTGTTTTAGGCTTGCTCCTGCAGGCTCTAAATATGGTCAAATCCCACATCCTTAGTGAGACATTATGACTGAAACATTAAAAACATTAGACTAAATTCCGTCAGAATTGGCAACTAGTGTCTGCCCATTGTCTTCACTAATTGAAAAGAATAGCAACATGGAAAGGAGGAGCCAGTGAAAGTTTAACGCAAAACATCGACATGTCAACTGGCCAAAACTAAATCTTTACTCAAGAATTTGAACAAATCCACAAATCCCAGATTGTTCGCATCAGTTTGTCTCAGACAACATAGATGGAGGATAAGGAAAATTTTGATGCAACAAGCATGGAGAAGACAGAAACAGGACTTTGGTCTGAACATTGCCTCAGCAAGACGTTGTCTCCTGTACTTTCTTCATCGATCTACAAAACCGTATCATATCATTCCTCTTGACTGGCATAATCCACGGGACTACAGATGGTGTTCTGCCTATTACTCTGTGTGTATATTAGACAACAGAATTTAGGACCCATGGACGTCCACCCAGCATTAAATGACCAACTAGCTTGTATTTACAAAGGACATACTTCATTTTCCATGCTAAATGTATGGAAAGACTGGCCTTTGCCAAAAAAAAAAAAAAATAAGGAAAGAAAGAGTGCATATCTAAAACCAAAGCTGAAATACACATATGTGCAACTCAGTCAGAGAGAATACAAAAAACGTCCCACAATAATAAAATGCCACTAATTCCAGACTCTCATGTGAAAACATACCATTTTGTTGATTAGCATTGCAAGGATCAACCACAGGAACATTGATAGGCACAGAGCAAGCCGAGGAAACCTTCCATGCACTGGCATGAAGTTGCGGGGTCCCTTCTATCATCCCTGCTGGTGAGCTGAAAACAAAAACATGAACAGTGCAAGTGTCCTGCTGACCTTATATGGACTACATGGGTGAGGAAGCAAGTACATCAAAAAACCTTAGATGCATAGGCACATTGAACGTGTGGAAGAAAAAAAAAAAAAAAAGCTTTTTCCTCTATATTTTACTCATGGAGTAAAATTCTTACACTCAAAGTCCGCCCTGACACTTAATTCAAGTACTCTGAAGTCAGTTGGAGGAGATATTAAACAGATGAGAATTTGGCCTTTATTTGAGCACATGCATTCAGTGAAATGTCAAAAATTTGACCTGTTAGCTAATTTCAGTGTACTAGAGGAAGGCTGTTTGCATTTTGATGCTGGTTTTCACCAAGTACTTCAAGGTATTTCAAAAGCATTTGTTACTGCCAGAAAAGTTTAGTGATATTATAGACAGAGCAACTTTGCAGGAAAGGCAGCAAAAGAATAAGGAAAATGTGCCCTTCTAATTAAACTATTCCTGTAGTTCAGAATTACTTTTTTTTCCATTAAAACTTCGTTTGGGGAAAAAGAAAAAGAACAGTAGTAAGTGTGAATCACATGAGAATGAAACTAGTATTTCCATCCATTCTTTTTGTTAGTGTTCATATATTTGCCCTGATGACAAGGGAGAGCAGAGAGGAATAAACGTGCATTCAAGCAGTATCATGATCCAACAGTTTCTATAAATTATATCGTAATTTTCTAAAATTACTTAGCTAAGTATCTTAGCTAAATTTATGAGTTTCATGTTTTAAAAAATGACTATTTTAATTAAGAGATTTTATATTAGTTTTATGAAGTATGAGTACTTTAGTGAAATGAAATAATCAGACAATTGCATTCAGTAAAAATTTTCACTTGCTGTTAAATGTAACCTATACATACAATATGTAACTTACAGAAAATCATCTCTTAAATTCCCATTGTACGTTCCACATAGTCCTAAGGTTCTTCTCTTCCAGCTTACATTAACTTGGACATAGATTCTCTCTCCATCTTTAGCAAACAGTATCTTTAAACCAAAACTAGTTTTCAGTTGAACAAAGAAAGAAGATACATTCTGAATTTCAATATCCCCTGCACAAAGCAAAAGAAAAAGAAAAAATAAGTCACTGAAATCCAACTTCCAGGCTATATTGGTTTACTCCTTAAACAAAACAGAGTTTGAAAACTCAGAAATAAAATGAGAATCTATGCACAAACGCACCTATATCCAAATAACTTCACAAATCGGGAACCGGAACTACTGTTGCAGTAAAAATCTCTCACCTTTCTGCACCTATGAGTTACTCAGAAACCATTCTCACATTTAATCTTTTTTTATAAGAAAGCAATGCAACAACCTGTCTCTGGCTTTGAGAAGAAAATACAAGAAACCGTTTGTTTCTTACTCTCCAGGGACGTTATAAGATTAATTAAAAGATGTCTATAAAGTGTATTGCAATCTTTAGATAGAAGGTTCTCTCTTTCTACTATTGATACAAAATCAGAAGTGCTCCATCCTTAAACTGTATGTGAACTAAGGCCCTACGAAATTCCCAGCTTTCCTTCCCAGCAAATCTATTATGTGAGGAAATGGGAATTTCACAGTTACAGCATTAATTTGGTACACATTGTTAGGCTACTTGCAGCTGCAGGCTTATAGCAGATCTACCTTCATAAGGTGCCTCTGTGCATGTACACACACACACACAAACATAGGTGCATAAACTGAGGGAAGAAGAGGCAGATAAAACACTTACATGAGCTTAAAGATGTTTTTAGTTAACAACATTTACTAGATATACCCAATTATCAAGAATGTGACACCAAACTATTTGTCATAGATTATATTTGTTGCAGACTGTGGAAAGAGACAAGAAAATGAGTAGGGGCTGATTCAAAGACATAAAATGAAATCATTAATGAAATTATGAAGCAGAACTGTCAGCAAAACTGGAGGTATAACTGAGCTATGAAGCTCATTGTCACAAGAAGTTGTGAATGCCAAAAGCAGAACTGTGACTGGACAAACTCCAGAGAAGACGCAGCTGCAACAAGCAGCACAGAACTTACTAAACTCTGTTAGGCCAGAGGTTGAGAAAAGAAAAGGGAATTTCCACTTTTTCAGAAGGAGACTAAAAACCCTGTAAAAACTCACTGTAAGACACAAAATGTAGCAATATCCTTTCCACTGTCAGTGCTGATTTTATAACATCCTTACAAGGCTGATTTATCTTGCTATTTTTTTCCAAAAAGGTGAAGTAAACTGCCTGAAATTGCAGCATAAGTCAGCACTGAAAGCAATGTAGATCCCATAGAGCACATGGATTCTATTCCATGCCATTTATTACAAAAAGCTTTAATCAAGCTGGACCTTAACATCAACATGATTTCCAACTCCTCTTAACCTCTCTTCATTTTCTTACCTCCTTCCCCCTAAACACAAACAAAATCAGTGAAATTTCTAGGTATTCTGCAAGATAAGAAATGCAAAGAAAAGAAGGCACAATGAAGGACTCTATTTCACAAGCTGAAAAATTGCATTTCTGGAACTGTTGCTATCACTATAAGAAGTGATTGTACATTTCATAAGTTGTGCTTGAAGAAATTACTTTTTCCTAGAGAGATATTAATAAAAAGCTTTGGAGCATATAAAAGAAAGAATGTGAACCCTGGCTACATTCTTCTATGCACTTCTTACCATTAAAGTTAAAAACTTGGTTAGGGCCGGTTTGGACTTGACCATATCTCGTGAGAGTTACTTGTTTGCTCACATCATCTTCAAGAACTAGTGTTATAGACTCAATGCAGGCGTGGTCAAAGTTCTGAGTAGAAACAAGTGTCACCATCAGAAACAGACAGACATTAATATTAGCGTGAAAAGCACGAATCAAACAGACAGAGGGAAAAGCACTTATACAGAGTGGAAATACCAGAACTGTGATCAGGTAAATCACTCAGAGTGTTAAACAGAGCACCCCGAGTTTTATGTAGAACATAATAAAACACTGCATATGTATATAAGAGCAAGGAGAATGTATTTTAGCTATTAAGGCAGTACAGTAGTAAGTGGACAGATATCCACAAGCACTGATACAGGGTTCAAAAAGTCATAGCTGCATGGCCAGCCTAGGTATTTCTCATTGCTGGGTTAACCAGTGTTTGAGCAAGAGTCTGACTCTGTCTGTATCAGGCTGGTGCAAACAAAGCCCAAATGCAGCAACACAGAAGGAAAGAACTATTGCACACCTGAAGGTGCTTCTCACTTTGAAACATAGTCATGATCTCTGACTGCAGAGCAAATGGATATAATTTCTCTATAATTATACTACAATAATTTATAAATATCTGACTATCAAAAAGTAGTGACTTAGAGAGTAATTCACACTCATCACTTTAGAATACTATCCACGCACAATTTATCGGCCTAAGTACAGGGCAAAAGACAGCACATAGCAAGTTTAAACTAAGCATCTTATGCTCCCTGGGTCCCCTATGTTTTCACTCAGAAACTTTCTAAGGTGCCTAGAGTTGTGCTAAGGGTCATTTCCAGATGTATTCTTGTCTCTCATTGGCTACCTAACAAACCGTTTCATATTTGAGACCATCTGAAATGCAGAAACAGGATTCTCGATACCTCTGCAGAAGGAGGTTTTTACAAAAAAAAATCGAAGACACCAGCTCATAGTCTAGCTTTTGAATGGACATGAGAGACAGTCCCACAGCAGGGCAGCTTCAGGGCCTCACTGCCTGCTGATGAGTTCAGGCCTCTCCGTGCTCAGCATACAGGCAGCTGCGAGTCAGTCTCAGAGCTCCTTCTCCTGAGAGCCCAGGTGACTCACAACATCATCAAAGCCAGACTCACAGACAGGTACTTTTTACAAGTACCTCTATTCATAAAGCCTGTTGGATATCTGTCAAAATACTTCCAAACAAATACGTGTGGTGGCTAGTCTCTTCAATAGTTTTCTAAAAGGTATTGTTTCAACGTTGTCTCAATAAGTTAAATACCCTATAACATATCAAATAAAAAACAAAAGCTACAACAAGAAATCTCTTGTGGTGTATTATACCTGTTCAGCACTGTCAACAAGAGCTTTTCTAAAGCCTAAGCCATCTATTTGTACCGTAAGCAAATATGTATGTACTTTCTTAATGTGCATAAATGCATAACTCTTTAGACTTTATGCCTCTAAAGATGCAATTGAATTTAGAAAAGGCAATACAACGTGTAGCAATACAACCAGTTAAAAAAAGCTGTAAAATGGTTTTAATTTGTGTTAAACATACCACAGTAGTTTACAGTAGAACATATACAAGGTTGCCTGAAATATGGACACGTTTCTTGTGAATGTTCAACAAAAATGTGCCTTACCTGTCCACAAGGGGCTTTCTGTAAAGTGATGGTGAATTTGTTTTGCCCAGTGCCTTTTACCAAAATGTACTGGCAAATCCCAAGAAAGGTAAAATGACGTCCATCAAATGTCGTGAAATGAGAGCTACCTGTGATGGAGCACTCAGCTTTAAAGAAAAAGAATAAATGAGAATGTTCACTTGCACAAAAAGATATCATTATTCTGTAGATTATATAAGAGACATAAATAAGAAACTTTCTCCTCATTTCTAAGCACATGATCCAGACTACCTTTAAGATATCTAGCTATTATGGCACTTTGAAATAAAATATGTTATATACACCTGTTTCCATCAGATACCATCTCATACTGCAACACAGCAATGCACAGCATCTTTTGGTTCTAACTAGATGAGATGTTTCGGAGTCTTGAAATCTCCAAAATACAGAAAAGTTACTACTGCAACTCTCAAGTTTCTTCAAATCTTCCACATTATCTTTTGGTATGACTCAGTGTAAAAGAAGATAACCTTCTTTCTTATTCCTTTTGAGTACTGTGGCACTGCTTGTTACCTCAGGAATGAAGAGGCTGCAGGTTGGAAAAGACCTTGAAGATCATCAAGTCCAACCATTATCTAACTCTACCAGGCCCACTTCTAAACCATGTCCCTGAGCACCACATCTAGCCAGCTTTTAAACACATCCAAGCTTGGCAATTCAACCTCTTCCCTGGGCAGCCTGTTCCAGTCTTTGATAACCATTTCAGTGTCAAAATGTTTCCTCAACATCTAACCTAAACCTTGCTGGGTGTAACTTGAGGCCATTTCCTCTTGGTTTATTACTTGTTGCTTGGGAGAAGTAACCGACGCCCACCTCACTACGATCTCCTTTCAGACAGCTGTAGAGCATGACAAGGTCTCCCCTGAGCCTCCTTTTCTCGATGTTAAACAATCCCAAGTCCCTCAGCTGCTCCTCATAAAACTTGTTCTCGAGACCCTTCACCAGGTTTGTTGCCCTTCTCTGGACACCCTCCAGCACCTCAATGTCTTTCTTGTCGTGAGAGGCCCAAAGTTGAACACAGGATTCGAGGTATGGCCTCACCAGTGCTGAGTACAGGGGGACAATCACTTCCCTAGTTCTGCTGGCCACACTGTTCCTGATACAGGCCAGGATGATCAGATCAGGAACGCACTGTTGAAGCAAATCTCCAGCGTCTCTGCAGTTACTGCACTTTAACTCACACCATGAGGTAGTGTCAGAGCACATGAACTAGGTTCATTTTAGCTGCAACTGCTGCAGGAGTTCCCTCTGTGGAAGTACATTTAACCTGCTATGAACAGGCATTTATTCCCTAGGACCAGACTAGAATAGTCATAATTAATCCCTCACATGCACACTCAACACACACAAGACATATGGAGTGGCTCTCAACATTGACCATTTTACACTACACATCCAGCCTGTTAAGCTTGCTTAGTACTGTCAAACCTTGTTTATTATCTCATTCAGAGGGGGCTTGGTAATTTGTAAATCAGTTTCACGAGTTTCTTAGTATAATCTTGTCTAAGATACAGTGCTGTCAAGGGAGTTTCACTACTCGACTACTGCATTTTCTTCTAGTAACTCATTACAGAGACATCTGATCTTTAAAGATAAGTATCATTATCCAAATATCAACTGCTGTTACAAAGGAGAAAATAGAGCACACTGAGCAACAGAATTACGTTTTTCTTATTATTTGCATTACAGTTGCACCTAGAAGTGAGGAGATCCTTTTACCTGGCCTAGGTACTGTGCAAGCAGTAGTAATAAAATAAGCCACCTGCCCAAAGGAACACAGAGCAGGAACAAGAGATAGAAAACAACAGGTGGATGTAACACACTGAGTTAGGGAAGCAAATAGGAAAAGGGAAGATGTATATGGTCAGGCAGTTAACGCTTCACTCCAGCTGGCACACTACTACTCTCAGCACCCATCTACTTAATCTTTCTTCTTAAATTAGCATCCCAAGCCCTTGGATCATGTTTGGTTCTGTTGCCTTCTGCAAAAATTTATCCCTTGTGTTCACTGAGGAGAGGAAAAAATGAGATACAGATACCTGGGCAATCATGATCAGTGCAGTTCCAAATGCCACCAATACAAATACTAAAAAGAAAAATCATGAAACACAGAACTTCAGTATTCTTATCTTTAGCAAAATGAGCAGCTTTCAGTTAATTAACATGTCTTGAATTAACAGTTGCCATAGAATAGCCTGAATATTTTGGTCATAGACAGGGCTCAGACTGTAAATCACACATACTAACTACTCTTTAAAATATGTGACTATGAGGTTAAATCAACTATGGTTAGCAGTCACAGAGAGAGAAAAAACAGACATGAGGCTTTCACATACCAGTTGCTACATTCCTGTTCAATTTTTGAGCCTACAGGGAAGGCAGTACCATGATAAATACAAGGACAATTCGACACAGAGATACAAGTTCCATTTTCCATAATGAGACCTATTGGAAGGGAAGTTAATAAATGAGATAGATAAAAAACCAAATTAATGATCTCCACGTCACTGCTCTTCCCCCATCTGATTCAAACATTCAAATCTGTTAAGACTGATCTCACCAGTCTAACTAGGGACCAGCAAAAACAGTCACAGGGAGTGCGGAGGACTGAAAGGCATGAACAGTGAAGCTCTCTCAAAGCAGTCGTCACTCTGAATAGTTGATTTATGAAAAACATCTACCTTAAGTGTATAAAACTGTTCAAATTAAAAAAAAAATATTTTGAAATCACATGATCTTTAGTCCTTCTAGAACAGGACTTTTCACAGTCCAATATTTAATTTTTATTGAACACAGGTCTCAGGAAGTTTATTTTTTGTACAGAGTACAAGACATATTCTGTTTAAATAAAACCTCAACAGATTTTGGAATAATTCAAATAAAATTGATTAATCTATGCAAAATCTTACTGCAGCAGGCATTAGTGATGGCTCCAGACTGTAACTGATATTTCATTCTGAGCCAATTTTGAATTGTAGAGAAATATTTAGAACACAATAAAAGGAAGAATCACAGTGAGAATAACAACAGCTAGAGCAAAATTTGTTGTATTTTTAGGCTTTAACTTCAAGAACAGCCTATTTAGATAGCTTTACTACAATGTTGCATATTAACTTTACACATATCTTTTCACACAAGATTGACAGTACTTACCATCTGGACAGTAACATCCATCTAAGCAGTGTAGATTGCTGCCAAGACAATCTTTTTCAAATGTGCAGGTTGGTGGACAACAACTAATACAGTCACGGTGTACAAAGCTCTCTTCACACTTTTCGGCTAGAAAAAATACATTATACATTGAACGGTAGTGCCATTTCTCTTCCCATACTGGAGAGCCCCCCTCTCTCAAATGAACAATTGTGCAGTATAGGTATTTTTATTTTATTTTTATTTTATTTTATATTATTTTTTATTTTATTATT